CACAGTCGATTGTCCTAATCTTTTGGATAAGTTAGCATTAAACGTCCCGTCTCATAATTTGCGTCGTGTTTCTTTATTCTACCTGGGATTTCCTAAATCTAACTATGTAAAATTCTCGCCTTTGTTCAGAACCCTTTCTGAGCTAAATGAGCTCTCTGAATATGACCCGTCTCTCTCATTTGGAACAGTTCGTTTTGTCCTACTTAATTATTTTAGGTAGTATATAAGCTCTCTTGTTTTATAGTCAGTAAGGATTTATTCCATTTGATTAAATAAATAAATAAATAAATAAAAAGTTAAGTAAAGGTTTTTGTTTACTTAACTTTATTGTTCATTAAATGCCGTTAACGAATCATTAACTGACTCTGAGAGGAAATTTTTCAAATCGTTACTGAAGGAAACCTTAAGTAATCATTAAACGACTCTGAGTGCGGCTGTAAGACTTAGCTTAATTTAGTTTCCATTTTGTGTGTGACGATACATTAATTGAAAATTTTGAACAGATCCAATTTGAAATTATATATTCCAGCGAATAATTCTAGCTATTGGCTCGTTATATGCATACAAGGTCTTGTATGTAGCTTCTACAAAAAGCTTGCAGCTCCGAAGTTGTAAAGATGGCTCGTTCGCAATAAAGAGATTGCGGATTTCTTGGCAGCGAACACTTCCGGATAAAGTGTTGTAAGCAAACATAATGGATAAATATGACCTCCTGTCCACCAGTGCTTGTAAGCCAAGTAGTTTCCGTCTTGATTCGTAAGGTGGGATACCAGTACGGGTACCATTGGTTACGCTAGTAGGAACGCCATTAAGAGCACCAGTAAGGGTGTTGGAGGCGTTGATAGGGACACCAAAGGAACCAGTAGGGGCACTATTAGTGGCGCCAGTAAGGACGGCAGTTGAGGCACGAGGATGGGTACCATTACATGGACCACGAGCCCAATTAATTCGATTTAGCGCAAATCGCGTGAATTTTTCTGGATCATTTCTATACGTCGCGAGTGGGAATCATAATAAGGATTCCAGATGATGACTCCATATTCAAGGATGCTCCTGACCAAAGCCACATAAAGACATTTAAGAGTAAGAGGATCTTTGAAGTTTCTTTTAATAAAACCTAACATAAAATAGGCTTTGTTAACTACGTAATCCACATGTGAGGAGAATGTTAACTTGCGGTCGAAGATTACACCTAGGTCTTTGATCTCATTTTTCGGCCGTAAGGTAGCTCCGCCTAACGAATAATTTAACAGTTTTTGCGTTGGGACTTCGGGTGTAAGACACAACGCAAAATTTTTCAATGTTGAGACTTAGATTATTTATGCTACACCAATCTTTTAATTCGTCCAAGTCCTGTTGTAGATTTTGATAATCCGAGGAGTCTTTAATAAAGTTAAAGATTTTTACATCATCTGCAAAACCTAGACTCCTTGACCAAGTAATTCGCGCTGGTAAATCATTTATAAAAAGCAAGAAAAGAAAGGGGACCAACATGGGTCCCATGCGGAATACCCGAAGTCGCATTAGTGACAACGTTGGATCTTGTAGAGCCGATTTTTACTACCAATTTCCTATTAAATAGGAGGTTTTTAAAGAACTCTAGTAGTATTCCACTAATCCCAAATCTTTTGAGCTTAGATAGGAGGATGTGTGTATATGACATCAAGCTGGGCCGAAATTATGCTTTTGGTGATTATTGCTAAATTGGTTACGGTCGATTTCCCTGGGAGGAACCCATGTCGACTGTCATAGAGTAAACATTTTACGTGCTCATATAATTTCTTATTTATAATATGATCGAAGATCTTAGCGTATACGTCTTGTTTAACAATTGCCCGATAGTTTAATACACTGTTTTTATCGCCGGATTTAAAGACGGGCTCTATGATGCATAATTTCCAGCAATCTAAGAATTTACCGGACTCAATAGAAGCATTGAAGAGAATAGCAATCGGTTTTAAGACATTCGTTAGTTAAAGCTCGGTTTCAGGATTGATATGGCAGATTGCAAATCGTCCTCAGTGATGGAAAGAGAGCTGATTATATCTGCAATGTATGTTGAAGCGGGTAGTCATCATAGACTTTTTGAAAAAATTACGCAAAAAGACCGCACGACTCTTGAGTTGAGTAAGAGGAAACTTCATCATACACCATCTTTGTCGGAAAACTGTTGGTGTTTCTTTTCGAATTTATAAAATGCCAAAATGCTGACGGGTTAGATTTTAAATTACATTCACTTTTATAAATAAACTTTTTGTAAAGTGACTTATGCAGATTGTCAAACTTTTTACGAAGATATTCATATTTTTTCCTATCTCTCAACAAGTGGGTCCTTCGGAAATTTTTAAAAGCTTTATTTTTCTTATTCCTTAGGCTGTATAGCCTAGCATTAAACCATGGTGGTTTCGAGCCACTTGTTTCAGAGGAACGAAAGAAGAAACTATATGGGAAAACTTTTCGTGAATTATTTTATAGATAGAGTCCGGATTCCTAATTGGTACAATGTAGTTCCAATTAATTGAGCTAAGTTCCGAGTTTATTGCATCAAAATTAGCTTTTTTGAAGTAAAAAGAGGGTGAAGAGTAGTTGTTAAAGCTTTGTGATGGATGCTGTTTGGAGAAATCGGTGCCAGGTTCAATTCACAGTTAGATCTAAGATCAGTAGTAGTAAATAAAAGATCCATTATTTTATCATTATCATTATAAAAGCTATTTATTTGTTGAAAATTGTTGGATGTGAAAAAGCCAATGACTGATGATTCAGTGTCGGTTTAATATTGAAAGACGTCAGTTTGTGGTCCGCAGTAGACCAGACGATGCCAGGTAGATTGGAATTCCCTATGACAATGACCTGGCTATTACCGGTGATGCCGCTTGTTATGTAATCAATGTTATTTATGTGACGTTCGTAAATTAAGGAGCTCGAATTAGGTGGTATATACGATAGGAAAAAGAACAGTTTTATTACTTTTAAAAGTGACTTCCACACATATCTGCTCAATTATATTATCAGCCAAAGGCAATGTTACAAGTTTGCTTTGCATATTTGACCAAACCGCTAAGAGAACCACACCCCCACGACAACCACTAGCTATGGGACATCTATCTTTACGGTATACCGAGTAGTAATTATCGAAGTATTCTGCACTTGCAATGTCTCTATGTAACCAAGTTTCGGTTGTTGCAATGAAATCGTAATCATGTAATGAGGTTGCCAATCTAAAATCATTGACTTTGGTTCGCATACCGCTTATATTTTGATAATAAATAGAATATGAGTTGAAGCTTTGAGCGACTCAATTCTTCAAGTCTTTCCCCCCTTGATTATCTAAAAAACCGAACTGCCGAATTTTAACATCCATCGGCCATAGCAAGGGGTCCAAAACCTTTGTATAAAAACTGGGGGATACCCCAAATTTACAATTGACTCTTCAAGTCTTCTGGATTTGCATCTTTTTTTATAAGTTTGTAGCAGACTAAATGCTGGCTGCTTATCTTCGCGTATTTGCTAACACAAGCAATTATATCCTCCGTATTGACAGTTGATTTAAATTAGGAGAGGTGTACCCATTTTTTGCTCACAACTGTATCTAATTAGCTATTGCTATTTCGGCCAACAACAAAGCTCGAAGTTCTCGTTTTCTTTGACTTTTTGTTTTGCACGGTCAACCACTTGTTTACCGTACTTGCAGATCCCGGAGCGTCAGCAATAATAATAAGCATATCTATGTTAGAGTTGGTAGGTGAAGCAGAAGTAGCAGAGATCGTTGGTGTTGTTTTGGTTGTTGTGGTAGGAGGCAAGCTTTTTTCTGAGATGTTGCTATTTGCAATATTTTGATGTATGGCGGGAGCGCCGTTTGAAGTGTTTACTGGCGCTTCCGCTGGCTTATTGACAGGTATGTATTGGAGATTTTGGGCAGATTTTTTTGATGTATTTGCAGGAGATCCATTCGCGGTGTGAGCTGTGCCAGATACTTGCTGTGCCCATGTGGGTTGAGCCCCACACTCCTTGTGCATTTTGCACAGCCGTTTTTCTCGACTACATTTTGGATTTCCTTAATACCAAAATCAACGTTATTAATATACATGACGCACTCATCGCATATGTAGCGAAGATTAGGAAATTCACCCAACTTCCCCAAAGTATATTGGTCTATTCCCGAACATTTTGATTGTGAGTGATGCATTTTGCTGCATACACCCGCACACCTTATTCCCGACTCGCCGCGGATTTGCGATTTGTACTTTTTGCAGTCCATGGCGACGATGAGAGCAATCTTTGCCTTACCTTTTTTGATATTTTTTCCAGTAAATTTACACTCTTCCACATTAGGCTTAGTATGCAGCTCTCAAGAAAATGGTCAAGAAAAAATTGCCATTATTTCGCGTGTGTGTCCAAGGAATTTTGACATTTTTGATACCTCACAGCCTGTTGCCTCACTCTTTCCTCAAGAAATAATGGAACGGGCATATATTTCTGTTGCAAGCCTGGGTTGCCTTGTGCTCTTTTTTCACAAAAAACTTTAGAAAACCGTAGTAGAAAGCGTAGTAAATTTCTTAAGAACTGCGTACTGCCTTAAGGAAATTTGACTCAAGAAAATTTCTTAGCCATTTCTTGTACGTCATTTTATATGGAGTTTTTGCTTTTCTTGAGAGCTGCATACAGGGCTTTAAAAAGAATACCGGATTGTGGTTTTTGTTACACAAAATACGGAGCGATAAGAAAACACGTCCACACACGTTGAAGACAGAATTTCGGAGTTTAGATCTTCGCCGCGGTACTATGAATTCGCTTTGTTTACAACAAACACATAATTTTGACATTCAGTAGTACCGCGGCTAAAACCTAAATTCGCCAGTAACATCACCTTGTATAAATTCGCCTTGCAGAAATTACTTTTTCGATACCAAGTACTTTTTTCTCGATACTTACTCGATACCGAACAAAAAGGTGTAAGGTAAAAAAATACTTGGTATCAGAAGAAAAGTATCGAGTATTTACTTGTATCGATTGAACCCGACTTTGAAATAGAAAAGGTTTTATTTACACAACATGAATAGCTGTTTAGATAACATAGAAATTTGTATAAATGAAGTACCAAAGATTCGCAGGTGCTGTATCTGCGGTGAGCGAACCTCAACACAGTCGACTATAGAAAATACTAGCGTTGGATCACCTCCAATTTTATTGAAGGATGTGATATTTAAGTGCATCGAACCACCTGAATATTTTTGGAAAATGATTGCTGACGAGACTGCAAATAACTACATCTGTGCATTTTGTGAAGTGTCGCTTAGCGAGTTCTATGATGCCTTTTTGCAAGTCTCACTTAAACGAACTGAGTTTCTAAGGAGATTCCGGGAAAGGAGTGAAAGTCCCGTCGAATATTTTGTTGTTTTCAAATCTTCAAAAATGGACTCAAACTCGTACCGCAAATCTATTGACCATCAAAGTGCTGAAAACACTGAAATGTGCCACCCAATAGAAAACCATTTAAATGTTGATTTGGGTGATGAATATAAAACTCAAAATCTTTCCAATGATGAGTTTGTTGAAGTTTATCAACCGGAGGAAAGGTTAGAGGATGATTGGTCATCCGATTGCTCGAACGGCCTTCAGGGTAAGAAAAAAAGCATACCGCACACCATCTTCAAAAGAGGCACAACTCAATAATCAAATCTCAAAGGGGTTGGCTTTCCAAAACGGAACCAATCGAGATTTCAGCGAAAGTATATGGAATTTAGTCATGAAACTTGGTCAGGATGTTGGGGGAGGCTTTCTCTACATGAATGTATCACTCTCACAAAGTAGTTGCTAATAGTATTTAAGCAGTTAGTTGTTAAATAATCTTCACTACCACCCCCAACTTTTTGTACAAAATGCAACTTATCAATTGTATTTCGGTTGATATACAATATCTTCAATGTTCACGTGCGTATTTGATACTTTTAATATATATATATTCATCAATTAATTAACTAAAACGCGTTTATAAATCCGTTCACTCGTTTTTGCTCTTTTCACAAACAAACAGAAATAACAATGGCCGACAGTAACAGCAAATGTGTGCTGCTATACTTCTCGAAGCTATAAAATACAACTATAAACCATAACATTTTCGATTTTGATCCAAGGGCTTTTTATTATAAAATCGATACTTCGATAAATAATGAAAATTTTTAATAAAAAATCGCGCGATTTTTTATTACAAATTTTCGCCTGCGGCGCTTTTTATTATAAAATCGATACCTCGATAAATAATGAAACTTTTAATAAAAAATCGCGCCATTTTTTATGAAAATTTTTCGACTGCGGCGCTTTTTATTATAAAATCGATACTGCGATAAATTATGAAAATTTTTAAAAAAATTTTCGCCTGCGGCGTATGTGCAATTTTCATTGTTTCCGTTCTGTTTTTTTTTGCATTTTTTAGTATGTATAGCAGCACCGGCATTTCAGTTCAGTTGGTGTACAAGGGAAAAAGTGTATTTCATACCCGATTTTAAAACACCTACCCCTTCAAGCCAAAACCAGAGTGGTGCCATTGTACAACATTATACTAAATCAAGGCAGCTTACCCCACACTTGGAATAATGATGACTGATAACTGATATTATCCCAATTGCGAAATCTAATAAATGTACCACTTCCACCGCGGGTTATAGACCGATATCTCTGTTGCCATGTTTGAGCAAAGTATTAGAAAAACTTGTTGCGCTGTTTCTAATAATCTACTCGATTCACATCAAGTAGCATTTAGGAGGGAGAGGGAACAATGGACGCTCTGTTGATCTTTGAAAATTTTGTCTCTTCAGCCCTCGATACAAAAAACCACGTATCTGTTCTTAGCATTGACTTCGAAAAAGCCTATGATAGAATTGGACCGCACGTCGTCCTCCATTGTTGTTGTTGTTGTAACAGCATACAAACTCCCCAAAGACTTTTTGGGGAGTGTTGCTGGAGTGACAGTCCTTGGCCATATATAAATCTGGGTCGTTCCGGTTACGTAGACCCGACTGTCGTGGGAACGTCGTCCTCCGTCAACTTGCGTGTTGGAAAGTCGGAAAAATCTATAACTTTGAGATTTTTTAACCAATCGGCACTTCACAGTCAAAGTCAATAATAAGCACACTTACAAATTATTTAATGGGATCCCACAGGGGTCACCGTTATCAGTAGTCCTCTTTATCATTGCCTTTGATGAAATAAACAAAATTATACTGAAACATAAAAGAATCAATCATATTATCTATGCCGACGATTTACTGCTTTTTACTAAATGTAAAGATTTATCGGTGGTTCAAAGTGATCTCATTAATATTCTATCGGAGATAACAAACTGGGCTAAAGATTCGGGATCCAAAATTTCTTTCAATAAATGTAACAATTTTCACATATGCAAAAAAAAACTTTGTACACCTATGAATCTATATTTTAATTATGATAACATTACCCACTGCAATATCTTGAAAATCTTAGGTATTGTATTTGACTCTAAGCTCACCTATAAAGTTCATTGTTTGTATCTCAAAACAGCTATTGCTAAAAGGTTAGACATAATTAAATATGTGATCATAGAAGCATTGCCTCGTTCATCCAACAACGCTTGTCAATGCAACCAAAGCTCTCATATTATCATAAATCGATTATGGACTCCCGATATACGGACACTGTGCGAAAAGCAACATGAAAGCTATACTACCTGCTTCCCTCACAGCAGCCAGGAGATGCATACGGGCCTTCCCAACCGTATAGACCCTAACAGAAGCCGGTCTCCCCACTATCAAAGAAAGAACAACTCTAATCACGCTAAAGTTGATTCCGAAGCTCCGACAATGTAGGAATCCAGTACTACGAAACACGGGCAATGCAGTAATCAGAAAAAAGAAACCTCGTTCTCGACCATCAGCGATCGCCAGAAGTATAAATGCCGCAAGAGATATAGGAGTCCCTATTAAGATGGAAAAATTCGATCACAAACACCCTGAGCCATGGTTTCAACCACAAAAGCTGCTAATCCTCGACATGCATTCTAATAAGAAAAGCACTACTTCTCCAGTAGTTTACCGCCAAACCTTCGAACTGATTGCTACAAATACTTAAACGTCAAGGGTGGAAATTTCTTTATACAGATGGTACAAAATCCACTAATACCACAGCTTTTGCGGTGGTAAATGCCAAACACGAAACCTTTTCAGTTGGACACCTGGTGTCATTCTGTTCCGTTTTTACTGCTGAAGCCAGAGCAGTTCTGAAAGCAGTACAATATGCACTTAGCCTTGGTGAAAAACACATTATATGCACCGACAGTTTGTGCACCGACAGTTTGTCGTCTATCCGCAACGCTTTGGCGCTAGGAAACAATCTTATAACAATTATGTGGAATCCAAGTCACGTGGGGATACCAGGGAACGAAGCTGCCGACGAAAGAGTCAAACTAGCAGTCAACCAACCACTTACAACAATATCTGTCACGCTGAAACAAGACTTATATAAACTGGCTGAAAAACATATTTTCAAAACCAAGCTCGATGAATGGAAAACCCATCACATCTTTGGCAGTAGCACCCCCTCCGAGACCTTGAAAAGCTTTGACACAGAATCCATCAAGAAGATCAATGAATGCCTTAGTTTAACGGAGCTTAAGAAGTTAATCTAGAGTTATATAGACTCTAGACCTGTGAATGCCGTTCTAGGCATACCGCCCCAGGACATAGCCGAGACAGAGCTTCACCTGCCTCAGGAGACACGAACGACAATAGCCCAACTTCGCTCTGGCTACTGCAGCAGGTTAAACTCCTACCTGAGTAGATTGAATGAGGATGTACCAAATGAGTGTCCGGCATGCGGAGAGACCCCACATGACTCGAAACATCTCTTCGCATGCCCGGAAAACCCGACAACCCTAACGGCTTCCGCCCTCGATACAAAAAACCACGTATCCGTTCTAAGCATTGACTTCGAAAAAGCCTATGATAGAGTTGGACCGCACGTCGTCCTCCGTCAACTTGCGTGATGGAATGGCGGGGAAAAAATATATAACTTTGTTAAAGATTTTTTTAACCAACCGGCACTTCACAGTCAAAGTCAATAATAAGTACTCAAACATTTACAAATTATTTAATGGGATCCCACAGGGGTCACCGATATCAGTAGTCCTCTTTATCATTGCCTTTGATGAAATAAACAAAATTATACTGATACATAAAAGAATCAATCATATTATATATGCCGACGATTTACTGCTTTTTACTAAATGTAAAGATTTATCGGTGGTTAAAAGTAATCTCATTAATATTCTATCGGAGATAACAAACTGGGCTAAAGATTCGTGATCCAAAATTTCTTTCAATAAATGTAACAATTTTCACATATGGGTGTTTCCATGAAAATGTCAACCAGGACTGGAAAAATAAAAACAACTGAAAAGGGTTTTTAAGACGAAATAATAAGAGAAAAATACTCGAATTTTTATATTATAGAAGTATTTCAGCTTATAGGAATTTTAAAACTCAAAAATGGAAGAGTAAAACTGAATGTCTCTTCGACTCAGTTTTCTCTAATGAAATGCACTATTTTCTCTTTCCTATTAACTAAATTAAGAGATTTGAAACATTACAATTACATCTTAAAATCAAATTTGCAATAACAACTAACTATAAAAATGAGAAAAAGGAGAAGTTAGAGCTCGAATAACGGTAATTTTTTGATTTGCTTCTAATAGTATTATAATATCGCGTACGTTATGCAAAAACATTGTTTGTCTATGTCATTTGTATATTGGCAGTCACAGGTAATGCAGATTACAATTCTTAAGCTAGAATTCTTCTAGTTAAAAATATGCGGTAAAATTTCTTTCCAAACGGAAGTAAAAACAAGTAAGAAAGCCTAAGTTCGGGCGGAGCCGAACATTAAATACCCGGCGCAAGTGTTAAATATATGTTTTTTCACCTTTCCGAAACCTTCCGCTAGATGGTAAGCCGGGGTGTATCAATTTTGAGTAAATTAGCGTCCTTAAATTTCGAAATATTGCAGTTTCAAGCATTTCTGAAATTTACCGTTATATGAGAAGCGGCCGTTATTTTAGTCCGATTTCAATAATTTTCAACGTTTTGCTTATATGTGGCAAGCACAATAACCACACCGAGTTTGGTACAAATTGGTAGAACGGTTACCGATATACTTATATGTGATCATAAGTGGGCGGTGCCACGCCCATTTTCCAAAATTTTACCATAAACGTATTTCTTGGTAAAGAATTGTTGCAAGCATCAATTTTGAATAAATTAGCTTCAATATTTACTGATTTATCGAAAATTTTGTATTTCTCTAAATTACCGTTATATGGGATGTGGGCGTGGTTATTGTCCGATTTTAAAAAGTTTCGGCGATTTTTTATGCTGTACCAAGGCCAACAACTGTGCCAATTTTGGAAGAAATTGGTGCAGCGGTTACCAAGATATACACATGTAACC